ACACTAGTTTTGATCTCATAGTGTTGTGTCTGGACATTGGGGATATGGATACATGATGTTGAAAGTGTAGGTGGTGGGTGCGAAATGTTAGCTAAGGGGCACATGTGCAGGTGCATCCTAGTCAGCCATCCTATGTGCTTGTTTCTATTCCTCTTACAAGTGAGTTCAATTTCAAGATTCAAAAGTAATAACTCTTCGTTACAAGACCTTCTAGTTTGCATTCATCAATCAAACACACAATAGGCTCACAAGCAATCACAACAACAATTTCAAAGAAAGAAAAAAAAAATTAAATGCAAATCCTAAGAAGCAAATTTAATAAGCACACGAAATCAAACTAAAACAAATCTAAAACTTAATAAAACTTAACCCACAAAAATTCACACACAAAATACGCTTACTCAAAACTATAGCTATCAATGCAACCTAAAAAAAATTAATACTAAGAACAAAAATTAAATCCTAGGAATTAAAACAAATTATGGAAAATAAGGCAAAAGCTATTACTAATAAACTACCACACAACTATAACTATTAATCAAAAGGACTAAAAAAAAAAAAAAACAGTTAAGAGAATTTCACAATCGGGTCACGCCAAATCTTTAATGCTCATGACACTCTACAACGTTTTCCCAATTGTAATCTTCTTGCAAAACAAAAACAAACACAAATGGAACTATTCCAATGAAAATTAAATAAAACAAAGTAAAACGAAATTATGCAAACAACCTAAAAATAAAATAATTAACCAAAAATGCAAAGAGACAAACTAAAAGGAACACAAAATTAAACACTCAACCAAACAAAACAATTCATCCAAATAAATGATCACTACAGAGAAAATAACACAAACAAAAACAATAACTAAGATAAACCTAGAGTAAAAACTAATGACTACCCAAACACACAAAATTGAAAGCACGTTGGTCCTCGGCAACAATGCCAAAATTTTGTCGAGTCAGTCGTCACGGTCACAAAATTAATCCTAAATACCATAGTTAGTGGTAAGCATGGTCGAATCCACAGGGAGCGAAGACTAACAACCTAATGCAAATTTGAGTAGCGGAACAATTTGATTAATTAAACTAAACAAACTAAATGCAAATAATAAAAGCTTGAAATTAAAACTAATGAAGACTTTATAATAAAAATGTTACCGCTACGGTTTTGGTTTGACACGAGACTAACTCACACAATTTTCCTCCACCCTGTATGATCCCCTAAACCTACAAGGCAAGGTAAATCAATGAAATGACTTTCCAGCACTCTAGGTATAATCTATCATGTCTCACCTGATCACTTAAGTTCGATTGGTTAAAGACTATCATTGAATGCCTACAAACACTACAAGACAATACCACTAGTTGGTACGCAATTAACAAATACAATTTGTCAACACGTATCATCCAATCAACCAACTTTACAATAAACGTAACAACAATAGAAATGGCATTAAATCTGAGCACAACTCAATTACAATCGATGCGAAGTAATGAAAATCAATATTCATCATTTAATTATCTCAAACTAACATCTATCATTTAGTAAGTTCTATGAAAACATTTAATCACAATGGACAACTATATTCATCACAAATTATGCTCAAACTATATTAAAGTATCGAAATCAAACATGAAACAAAAACAAATATAATTCGAAACACAATACTACCAAATGTCCTACAATCGGGCTCATCCAACTAGTCGAGAGTTGATGAGGAGAGCAGTGGAGTCAATCTCAATCTCGCCTACACCATAACAGACAACCGAAAACTTAGTCGCTCATGGTAGTGTCGACGGAGGCTGGAGCGGTGGAAACGAAGTTGATCATGGCGAAGAGAAAGTAACCGACAGCGAGATGATACAAAGAATGAGCAAAAATGACCAACGGACAGCCTGGAATACGAACAGTTGTAACTCACTGGAAAACTAACGTTTTCCGGCGGGTTTTCCGACAAATAGTGGCAAAAATGGGATCTGAAGGTACCAATGGAAAGCTCAGGTGATGGGGAGTTCAGATCAACTCCTAGGGAGATGAAAGGTTTCCGAAAAGTTAGCAAAATCATGGCTAGAAGGTGAAGAGGAGTGGCAGTGGAAAATGGTGATTTGCGATGGTCTTTCACGGAGATGGGTGTGTGAGGGTGTTGGAAGGTCGGAAATGTGGAGATCAATGCTGAGGAAGGTGAATCGTCGCCGAAGATCGTCGGAAAGTGGCCCAACGATGATTGGAAGACGAAACAGCGCCGACAAGCGCATGAATCGTGGCGGTGAGTGCGACATGGTGATGATCGATGCAAAGGGAAGACAAAACGTCACCGGAGATCGCCGAAAATGGGAGAGGAAGAGTCGCCGGTGGTGGGTACTGTAGAATGGGGTGAGCGGCACTCTTGGAATGAGACACTTCACTTCCTTTTTATACAAAAAGTGGAAAATGTCCCTTTAGTCCTTGCATGATTGAAAAGTGACAAAATTAACCCCTACAAATATGACAGTTTACCCCCTAAACAACATAAATGAGACAAAATCACCCCTAATCCATAAACCACAACCTAATATCAACTCATACCCTTACCAAAATTATTCCAAACATGTTAAATTCATAAGAAAATATCAGGATGCGATTTTTCGTGAATAAATTCATAAATTTCTTAATTGCCTCAATATGATTTCATTTTAATCGCACATAGGGTCTTTTATCACCAAAATGGAGTCACTTTCATGACTCTAACACTTGGCTATCTGACGTTAGTCATGGCTCTGATACCAAGTCAAGAATGGAGAATAATCAAAGAATCTGGAGTGTGTAATTCACAATTGAAGTGTGTAAACTGATTTTCATTAACATTGAATTAGAAATGTTTTACAAATCCTCTTATATAGTACAAAGGTTAAGAGAGAGAGCGAAGATAGTTGAAGAGGAAGAACATTCTTCAACTGATTATAACTAAAAGTACAAAACAACATCGTATAGATCTTTTACACAAAGACCCCATTACTTTAAGGAATGACATTCTGACCCATTTTCTCTTATATCCTAACACCTACTACATTTGTGTAATTACCTTGGCTTATTAGATTTATAGGGTGTTTCGTGGCCGTGAAAATTAGGCAGACTCCAATGTGGGCCTGGATGCCTCAGTTACCTTTAAAAAAAAAAAAAAAAAAAAAAAAGCAAATATAAAATGTTAGAGTTAGGTTTTTGTCTTTCTGTCACTTGACTGTTTTTTGTTTTTTGTTTTTTCATGTGTTATGGTTTTGGACCCATGTTTATCTCTCAATGACTATTAATATTATTAATATCTCTTTTAACTTTTATATTATATAATCATTTAGATTGACATTTACACCCCTTTTAATTCAACGGATTTGCTTGCCGTTTAGGGGAAGATATATTATTAAAGGATACTAATAAAATTGATCAAAATTTGGGAGTTTTCAGTAATTAAGAAACTTTTCAAACCCTGTACCTTTCTATCTGAATATTTCTAAATGTCAAAATGCCATCATCCCCAACCTGTTAAAACACAACTCAAACTTTCGTTCAGGGAAAGTTTTACTAGATCCCCTCAAATATATCAATATTTAAGCAACCACTCAGGTTTCAAAAATTGCTCTCAACCCCCTAATAGTAGTCAAAGTTATTTAATCTATTACCTGATAGTCTAAAATCAATTAATTTCATTATTTACCCCTGTGTTTAATGAAAAAGAAAAGATAGAATAGATTTTAATTTATAAAAAATTAGCAAAACTAAAAAGTTGGAAAAAAAAAAAAAAAAAAAAAAAAAGAGTTGCTGCGTCCAATGTCCATGCCGATGGTATTCCTACAACACTTGTACGACCCTTCAAGCCAGTCACTGCCCCTCTTTGAAAGAGCTTCAGTGGAAATGTCACTGACTTCCCTGATGTTCCAAGCAATGTTGAAGGTTTTCAGCCTCAGCAAATCTTTGTTTCACTCTCTAATAACTATGATTCGGTTTGGATTTCTTGGATCACAGCTCTCTTTCTTTGCTTCTTTCATTCTTTGTTTATATACTCTCCTTGATTGTGCTAGAATTCATGGCTCAATGGCTCATTTAATTTTGTTTAGCTTCACTTTGAGTGCCTTATATATTACTAAAATGATGGTTTACAGTTTGAAATTTCCGGCTTATTTGATACTAAAATATGTAAATGTGAATTTGCATTGATATAAACCCAGTAATGTTCTTGAGGTTATCGGTTAACCGTTTCTAATTTCTCCCGAACTGGTAACTGAACCGAATATCCGGTTTTTTTAATTTTTCGAACCGTAACCGAATCGTTTTTTCGGTTAACCAGTTTTTAGGTTCAGTTACCGGTTCGGTTCGGTTTTTGCATTTTTTTGAACACCCCTATCTATGACAGTTCAGAAGCGTTTTTTACATCGTAAAAATTTATCTTAAATAGTTAAAATTTCTACATTTAAGTTTCTTTTGTTTTAAAAAAGAATTTTAATTTATGTTCCCCACACGTTATTGTTTGAATACATTTCTTTTTTAACTATTTTAAACTCCTTGTATGAGCTAGGAGAGATAAAAGGTACTTATGCAATTTAACTTCTCGCAAGGGGCATTCATGTGATAACCAACAAAAGCAAAAACAAAAATAATTTCACATGCTTTAGTATTTTAGGTTATAAATACTCACTAACACTTCGTTTAAGATATTACTTGAAAAATGAAAGCGCAAAACAACATCACATACAATATTGCTTCACATTTGCAAACACCCAATAATACTTCATCCTTTTTATCAATAAGAAGACGCTCAATAATGGCTCAAGAAATGAATAGTCTACCATTCTGGTGACCTTGTTAACGAAATTTTTACTCTTTTCTCAATTCTTCCCAATTGCGACATGCGAATCAAGGCTTATCCTCTCGAATGAATCAAAATAGAACAAATGGCTTGACTATAACATATTGAAAAATTCGAGGAAGGGAATTGTAAGTTAAACCAGACAGGCTATCAGTTAAATAAGATGGAATCCAATTTCGACGGAGCTTTGGCCACGGCAGAGGCTGGTGTTAAGGTTATAACTGTCAAGAAAGATGGTAGCGGAAATTTTCGAACGGTGAGTGATGCAATAAATAGCATTCCGATGTCGAACCCAAATAGAGTGGTTATTAAAATCGGTGGAGGCTCATATTGGGAGAAGATCACTATTGACAGGTCAAAGCAATTTATAACATTTTATGGGGACCCAAATGACATGCCGAGGATTTGTTTCAATGGGACAGCGGCTCAGTATGGAACGGTGTACAGTTCTACAGTGGCTATAGAGAGCGATTATTTTGTGGCTGTTAATATTGAATTTGTGGTACATACCTTCGCTTTTATTATACTCTATTTCACAGTTTCAAAACTTAGCGACAATGTATGAATTATATTTGAGGACTTCAACCTTTTTTTCTTTCTTTTGAATATCTTAATAAGACACGTTGCCATGTTCGCAACCATAACTTACAAAGAGCAGGCGATATAAGCTAAAGTGCATTTGCTACATTTGAGGGTTCATTAGTAACTACACCTTCATCACTGTATTGTGAATATCTTATATTTTATTCTTTGTGTGACCTTTTCTTGTAGAATACGGCTCCAATGCCAGATGGAAAAAGAGAGGGTGCACAAGCAGTCGCCATGAGAATATCTGGAGATAAGGCAGCATTCTACAATTGCAAGTTTATAGGTTATCAAGACACTGTGTGATGATAAAGGCAAACATTTCTTTAAGGACTGTTATATCCAAGGCACCGTTGATTTCATTTTTGGAGATGGCCAATCCCTCTACTTGGTACTTTCACACCACTCATTATTATTACACTCTTGAGTTATTTTAAAATGTACAGTATGAAACATAAATTTAAAAGTTGAAAAAGAGAAAAAATATATAATTATTTAAGTAAAGAACATTTTAAGTAATAAAGGAAACATAGTATAGGATCTAGCTAGTTAACCGTATCTACAGCAATAAAATGCTTGCACATCAACATATACAAGAAATCACGTTAATAATTTTTGCCACGATTGGAAGCTTAAAACTGGGATGTCGATGCAGAACACCACTATAAGATCAGTTTCAAATGGCATTGGAGTCATCACAGCACACGCCAGAGAAAATGAGAGTGAAGAAAGTGGATTCGAATTTGTCCATTGTAGCATAATTGGTACTGGTAAAACTAAACTTGGTCGAGCGTGGAAGCAGAGACCTAGGGTGATTTTCGCTCACACATATATGGACACTGTTGTCAGCAGCGAAGGATGGGCTGATGACATGTCAGACGGTGAACACAAGTATTCACCTTGATCATCCTTTCCCTTAGAGTTAACAATGATATAAATTCTTGACAACCTAGTGATAAACTGTCTTTCTTATTTGAAAATTTTTGCAGACCTGTTTATTATGGAGAATACAAGTGTTGGGGACCCGGAGCAAATTCTTCTGGTCGAGCCAAATTTGCTAGGATGCTATCTGATGAAGAAGCGCAACCGTTTCTGAGCACAACTTTCATCAATGGAAACAACTGGATTATTCCGCCTCCTAAGGTGTAAACTTATTCATCATTAGATGAATAACAATTGGCATGATATGGGATACGCGTGGACCCTTAGATGAAAGAAGATATTCATTCAAATTTTGTGTTCTTATGTAAGATGAGACTTTATCCAATGATAATACTTAATTTGATCCGTCGTTGGTGATTATGAGCTTTTCCATATTCTTATGTTAAAACTTATTATAAATTCTTTCAATCGAATACGTCACAATTGTTTCGTATGTTTAATTAATAAGTTTTATTACATAATGAAAAGTCGACTAAATATTCGGACTTAATGAACAGATGTGCTTAATATGTTATATTGACCTCAAAGTGATACTATTTAGTAGTGGCAACGGTAATATTTTTATAAACTTTCATAAAATGTTTAACTTTTAATTATTTTATTCAAGAGTCACTTTGGGAAGCATGAAGATACGAGTATCGCATGGCTCCTTTCCCATCTCTTTGAAGTTTTAAATTTAACTAAGTTACGGAAATTGGTCTTTTATATTACCTAATCAATTTAAAGAACAAATAATAAATTTTCTCTATTTGTCTCTGACCGCATTAAATTAACTACCATATTAAGCCATGGAAAACTTGATATGTTCCTAGATGCTCCTGCACTGCTCAACAAATATATGTTTGTATTTATTCTTAGGTTTAAGTTTTTTTAACCTTTGGTTTTGATTGAGAAACATATGTGCTCCTAAGGTGTGAACTTATTCACCATTATGTACAAGTAAGAAGAATGTTATAAAATTATTCATTCTTATGTCAAAACTTTGTAAAAATTCTTTAAATTTATTATATGACAACTTTTTCTTCCGTTTAACTAAGAAGTTTTATTACATAATGAAAACTCGACTAAATATTCAAACTTTATGAAGAGATACAATTAATATGTTATATTGACCTTTGGGTGTGTTTGGTTCAGAGAATATTGTATTATTGGGAATGTTATATTAATAGAAAGATATATAGATTATCTTGAAGATTATTTGGAATGTTATATTAAAAGTTTTTGGTTAGATTATAATAAATTGGTGGGTATGTTATATAGATTACTGAATTACCCTTCTTTTTTAATAACAATATTGGGTGCGTTTGGTTTATTATTTTGGGTAAGATTTTGGGAATAGTATTGGATAGTTGGATATAGGAGTATTACGAGATAAAATTTAAAAATTTATAAAAAGCCCCCAAGGTTTGCTAATTTAATAAGCACCCCAAAATAGTAAAATATTATAAAATGACAAAAACACCCCTACCACCCGCAGTGTCAGATTCTTGCCACCACCGCCAGAATCTGGCTGGAAAATTGGATAACCACACACACCGGTCAGATCTGGCGGGTATTTGATTGATATGGCCTTTTTTGGCCACATCCACCATGGATCTGGCTGGAAAAGGCCAGATCTAAGGCCGGATGTGACCTTCGATGGTCGGAAAAGGCCATCTTTGGCCGTCAGCGATGACCAAAGATATGGCCGTCAGATCTGGCCTTTTCTGGCCAAATCTGGCCATTATCGGCCATTTCCGGTGATCGTGAGATTATTGTGACAGATTCCAGCTACCATTGGTGGTGGTTGCCAGAATTTGGCAAGTATTGTGGGTGGGGGTGTTTTTGTTAGTTTTTAAACTTTTTTTTCGGGAGTATTTAATGAAATTAATAAACTTATAGGGTCTAAAAGTAATTAAAAAAATAAACTAATATTTTGGGAATAACGTGCCAAACAACATTTGAAGAATAGGATTAGAAATATGGATAAAAACAATAAGTCAAACGCACCCAATATTATTATTATTATTATTTAACCCCTTATATTTGAGATTTTGTTAAATCACTCCGGCTATAATAAAAATTTAAAAATTAGTCAAAACACCTCCATCCACCCAAAAGGACTATCGGCCAATTGCTATAATTAGGTTTTGGATGTACTTGGATCAAATAAGGGTCTGATTCCTGATCAGATCGACCGATCTAGTCTAAAGTTTTAAAACAATGAACAACATAACTTTTATCTAACTGGTAATCCCATTTTCAGTTTTCAATATTTTATTCATAAAGTATTTTCAGTTTTCAATATTTTATTCATAAAGTATTGCAATAGGATATAACAATGACGACACCACCATTTCATAATTTCAAGACTAATTAAGATTTATGCCCTTTTATCCCCAAGTTAAATAAACTTACGAATCATCTGATTCGAATGAAACTCATCATTTTACCTATCAAATAAACCAATGAATTCTAAAATTATCCTTTAGACGTTGGAAATATCTAATAGTAAGATAATTGCCCAAATGAAAAGCATTATTTTTAATATAGTTTTAATACTTATTTATTTTTTTGTCTAAATATTGTTTTTGTGATTACATCTTCAAATTTGTTATACATTCATTGATGTAGGATCCTGTCCTATCTCTTATCTGCCTTAAAAGTGAAACAAACATGGGGGCTAAATAAAATTGTGCAATCCTAGTGAATTTGTCGAATCCTTTACCAATAACAAACGTACCACTACCAGTCAATTTTTTTTTTTTTTTTTTTTAAATCTTATTTTCATAAAAACTAATTCCTATTCTTAGTGATTAAAAATTTAACCACAAGTAAATTTCTTGAAATATTTTTTTTTTTATTTCTTTTCTTGCATTCAATTAATCTGCTGCTACTTAATCAATTTTCATGTTGAATAAAATTGTGAATATATATATTCACAATTTTATTCAACATGAAAATTGATTATATATATATAAGATGAACAAATAAAAAATAATTATCAATTAAATTATGACAAATAGTACCCAGTAACATAAAAATAAGAGCTTAGAAACTATGGAATCAGGTATCATCGTATCCTAAATAAGTTAATACGTTAATACCAGTTATACCCCTAAAGAGCCGAAGATTATTGTTGCTTTCAGTAAGTTTAGAAATCATCACTTACATTTTACACCATGTATTGTTACTTTTTGGCTTTAAAACAGGTGGAAGTCTAGGTTTGATTATAACAATTAAAATTTTATATGTATATTTATTGATGACTTACCAATTTTACTATTATTATATTTTAAAATATAAATATTTGTACTTTCTTTATTTTAAGTTTTGTAAAAACAAAAGATTTAAATTAAAAAAAAAAAAAAAAAACTCTTTCAAATTCAACAATAGGAAGGTTTAAGACCACTGTGATCTTGTTAGATTGCAACTCTTGGTCGATTAGAAAGCCAACCAATATTTTAAGATTTTTTTAAAAGAAAATATTTTATTTATAAATATTTTGTATTATTTCGTGTGTTTGAATTTGATTAATTTTTGTTTTAGTGAGTGGTCCCTAAAAAGTCCGTTTTACCCTTACTATAATTAGATGTAGCATAAAGTGATGGTAAGGGATTTAAGTTAGGATTTCCGAATTTAGTTGGGATGACCATTAGTTTTCAAACTTGGTTAAACAGAGAACAAATATATTATGAGCAAACGGCATATTCCCACCCAAGGTTTAGCGAAACCCTAAGTTAATGCCCTTGGTTGTATTTATCCATATTCCTACCCTTAAAGTAACATCGCTTTCTTTATATTTTAACCTTTGAAGGATAAAAGCATCAAAATACCTCTGGTCCTGAGCCTAATTGTCCTTTTTTGGCTGAAAGTGCTACCGACGTCGCCTGTCGATTCGGGTCAAGTTTGACCGGTTTTCTTATCGAAACTGGCCAAAATTGACTCCTTTTCGCAAATCCAACCCTTGCCCACCTCGAATTTGCTAGATTCAATCGTTTTTGCCATCACCAACCATTTTTTCGCCGGTCGCCTCCTATCTTTCTAAGTCAGATTCTGGTCGAATCCAGCAGCCAAATTCAAATCTTCCACCACCCTCTTAACTATTGGCCTCCACTCTTGAAAACCCCTCAAACCTTGTCACCTGGTTTCCCTTCGATCATCGATGTGAAACGTTGCCATCTCGCCATTGGGTTTTTGCGATTTTGCTCATTTTGGAGGCTAATTTTTTTGTAGTTTTGTGTTGGTTGTTGCTATTGGAGTGTCGTGTAGCTTTTGTTGAATTGGGTGTGAGTGTTTTTCTAGGTTTCTGTCATCCCCCAGCCATTCGCAACTCTCCTCCTCTCAAAGGACGCCAGGTGCTCGAGGATAAGATAGAAAAGCTTTAAGGGTGACAACCGGTGAGCAAGTGATGCAAAAGGAAGCAAGGGTTTTGTAGAGCAAATAGAGAGGGTTTAAATGGTGGTGGCGGTGAAGATTTCCGGTTAACAAAACGACCGAAAAAGCAGCTGCAAAGTGTTTATTTGCTCGAAAAAGCAGTGGGCTTTTCCGACAAATGGTGAGTGATGATCATGTGATGAGGTGGTATGGGTTTTGCATAGGGGTGAGCGATTCTGGGTACTCTATGTTTTTTAGGGGAACTAAACCGGAATCGAAACCGAAACTGGAACTGGAACTGACAGGTCCCTGTTCTTTGATTCTTGGAACCGAAGCCTGAAATGCAAGTTTTCGTTCCTTATCCGGATACCTTATAAAAAATTAGTTACCCCCTTATTAGTTTAAAAAATGACAAACATACTTTAAAGTTTTACAAATACACCCCTAACAAATTAAGAAAACCTTAAAATTATAAATATATATATTTTAGAAAGTATAGTTATGGAATTAATTTTGGGAATTAAATTTTAATAAACTTTATTATCCAAAAATACTAATTTTATCATTACTAGAGTGAAAATAAAGTTAAATTAACATTAATTGTGAATTTGTGACAAAAGAATAAAATTAAATATTAATATTAATATTAATATGATTTATGAATCTTTAATTAAATAATTAGTATGACTCTAACTTTAAGTTTGTTTAATGATTTCTTAATATATCGTGACTCATGAGGCATGAGTTGTTATACTATAATGTACTAATCATTTAATTAAGTAATGTAATATTATAGTAAATTACTAATGTTTATAATATAATATTATAATTAATTAGTTAATCATTTAACT